ATTCGGTGGATAATCGAATAGCCAACCAACTGCACTTCAGTACACTGGCACGAACAGTCAAGGCCAACTATCGGTTTTTTAATCGATGCAACGAATCGCCCACCACTGCACTTCCTGTAACTGGCACGAACATCAAGGAAATGACGGGTTGTAATCGGTGGAAAGCGAACTCGCCACACTGCACTCATACACTGGCACGATATCAAAGGAAATATTGTTGTAATCCGTGAGGAAATCGATCGCCACCACTGTCTAATTCCTCATTCACACCAACGGTGTTTCAGGGCCAGTTCAGAGCTGGAGCTTGAAAAGCACCGGGTTTTCCTCTTCACACCGCAGCGGAGGAGCCTCTTAGCTCCGGAAACCGGTTCGTTTCGAGCACCAAAAAATTGTCCGGCCAAAGCAAAAGCACCGCATACGCCACGCTTACGTCGAGGCGGGGGCAGGGGCGGGATCAACTCCTGAACAACAACAAAAAGCCGACTTATTATCCAGTTTGTACACAACGATGGAGAAACTTAACAAGCAGCAGTGGTCCACTGAACAGACCAGCTACCTACTGGGAATCTGGTCTTCTGAAGAGGTACAGAGGAAGCTGGAGCACAATCGGCCATTGTTGTTGTTGTCGGTGTCAGCTGTGAGGGGTTTCCGCGCGGTTTGGCTTTATGAAGCAGGCACGCAAACGGTTACGTCATGACGCAAACGATGACGCAATGACGCAGCACCAGTCGGACTCTGGGCGGTGTGAAAAGAGCCGGAGCTAAACCGAAGAACCGGTTATGAACCTGAAAAGCTCTAGCACGGAGCTTGAACCGGAGTTGCGTTGGTGTGAATGAGGTATAACTCACCCAGAGATCCAGGTCCAGGTTCAGGAGTCTTGCCGGCCCGTCAGTATGTCCGTCTCCCTGCTGGTTACAGAAGCAGCATCTCCGCTCGTCTTTAGGGAAAGGGTCCGGAAGGAGACACACCCCCAACTTCTTCAGGAGAACGTCCACTTCCTCCTCCGTTGGCATGGAAACCGCCTCGTTAGGGGTGCAAGGGCCTCTGGGTAAAGAGAGGCAAACAGAGTGATGCTATCAGGCTGAGCTAAGGCTAATATGATGCTAACAGGCCTGAAAAATACTCATACATTTGAAGAATATCCAATAATCTTTAAAAAAATAAAAAATGCTAACCTGCAGAGTGCTAAGTGCTATCATGCTAGATGCTAACCTGCAGAGTGCTAAGTGCTATCATGCTAGATGCAATGCTAACCTGCAGAGTGCTAAGTGCTATCATGCTAGATGCTATGCTATCCTGCAGAGTGCTAAGTGCTAACATGCTAGATGCTATGCTAACCTGCAGAGTGCTAAGTGCTATCATGCTAGATGCTATGCTAACCTGCTGAGCGTAATGTTGAAGCTCCACCTCCTCCACCTGCAGCACTTCGTCCTTTTCCCAGAGCGATTAGACTCCTCCCCCCCAGGTACAGCTCGGGGGCGGGGCTTCAGCTTCACCTGGGAACCAATCACAGAGTCTCATAAATCAATCTACCAATCAAGATTCAAGGCCTTATCATCATGACAACAAAAACAGAAATATGCTGTTCCTTTAGCCACACCCACCTTGAGGCTGTCCATGCGGGGGCGTGTCTCTGTGGTGATGGCGGCGGCGGGGGGGAAGGAGATAGGAGGTGAGGAAGAGGGGGTAGGAGAGGAAGGAGGGAGGAGGAGGGAGTGAACTGCGATGGTGGACATGTTGCTGGTGTACTGATGCACCCTGCAGGGAGGGGGGCACTCAGGGCCCGCCAGCATGAGGGGGGTCTGAGGAAAACACATATTCATTATTACTAAAAATGTGATCAACCAATTAACCAAATAGAGATTAATTTAAGTGTTTAAAACCAATTAAGACGCTTCAAAGCAATTACAGGTTCCTCCCAGGTGAGTCTCACCTTGTTAGCGGCTTTGCTCTGCACGTCGGAGTTGAACAGAGACGAGCAGTTGGTGCTGCAGAACATCATGCGGGTCGCTCGGGGCTGACCCTCCTGCAACACACACACACACACACACACACACACACACACACACACACACACACACACACACACACACACACACACACACACACACA